AAAGAGGAAAAAAGTAGTAATAATTACTAAATCATAATGAACATACCAATAACTAACTTTGATCTTTGAGAAACAGAAGGAGACTGTGACATATTGGGTGAATATTGAGAAAGAGGCGGTTGAGGTCGTCGACTGGACATCCGCGATGTCAACGATGTCAACGATGATGTACGCCCTTCATATGGCTGAACAGGATGAACGGAGATCCTTGGTGTTGGGCCATTTTGTGGACGATGCGAGTATTGTAGGTGTTGCGATTGTTGAGAATATTCAGGGTTTTGTGAGTATTGTGAATATTGCTGTGATGTTGGAAAATCACCGTCAAACGAATATGTGTTCAGGGTAGGTACGCTTATAGAAGCTTGATTGCGAGACACATCCGCATCAGGGAGTCGATGCTGTTGGTATGGGTGTTGTGAAGAATAGTTATGGTAGAAAGAATCACCAATTCTCTGTCCGTTATTTGTCATAGTAGAAGTATTGCCGACTGGAAGCTGGACTTCCATATTTTTCCAATATTCCCAATGTTCCAATGAAAATTCAAACTGGAAGAATCCCACGATGAGTATAATGCTAACCAATAGAAATGCACATAAGTACCTAACCAATCAAATAACTATGCTCCTTTACCTTCTTTGTCGCTTATATATGGGGGTCAGTCAGTTGAAACGTGCCAAATCGTTTTAAAACCTTGAACAAAGATAACAATAAATAAATGGAACAAAAAGTTTGTTTAAAAAATCATTTTATCAAATTTATTCTTGTTATCTTGTTTCTGCTGACACGCCATGTATCGCATGTATCGCATGTATCGCATGTATCGATAGGGAGGTTTTTATACGTGACATGAGAAGCTTAATAATCCAGATTCTCTTTACTGCTCCTTAATTTCACTTGGCAAAATTCCGTCGTACTTTAGATCACGTTTTAGCGTTATGTTCCGAAGGTGTGGTTTTTGGTCACACTGTTACTATCGATTTCAGGAGGCAATGCGGTCGAAATATAATCTAATATAATGAAAGAAACTAATACGTAGAACTGTTTAAGATCGAATTTAGATACGTACGTACGTACGTACGTATTAAATTTAATTACGAATTATAGAACTTATGGTAAAAGTTATACATAGTAAGGAAATCAAATTTTGGAAAAAAATGTATTAAAACTTAGGTTGATTATAATGTGTTAACGGTTTTAAAAATATTATGCCAAAGTTCTGTTAAAGTTGGAAAAAAATCTTTTTTTTTTTTTTTTTACAGAGAATTCCACAAAGCAGTTTAATAGAATTTTGAATTTTTTGATTGGTCTACTTGTGATTCAGCCACTTCAATTTCGATGTATATATATTTGCTGGCAAAGCCCAAACCCAAAATTATTCTTAAATAGAAATTAAATGGTTTGAAGTGAAATACGTAAAAGAACCAGAGTTCAAGCTCTCCTAGTATAGTCACCAGAATCTCATATTAAACTTTGGAATTATCAATTATGAAGACACAAATATAAAATTATATATGCCATATTTGTGCAATTAATTTAACCGAATCCGAACCATGATAAAAAATCTTCGACTAAATTAATTGAGTTTTCTTTAACGTTAAATTGCATGCCTCGAAATAACGCCTCGGGGCGTTCTTTCGCGCAAATACGGTATTTTTAAGAGTCATGGGTAAATTAATTGAGAGTTCACTTTATGTAAATAATAACGCCACGAGGCGTTATTTCGCGCAAATACGGTAAGAACATTTTCTAAATGAGATTTATAAAAATTTTCGATTGAGATTGGCTTCAGAAAGTATTATACTGACAGATTCGACAAGTTTTAGTAATATCAAACCTTAATAACGTAACGGAAGCTTGGTATGTATGTTTTACAAAAAATTTCGTAATCTATAGCTGGTAAAGTGTTTTCGTTTCGCCTATTTCATGTTTTAGGTGTCATCAATTATTTTTCGGATTGGTAAAAAATTTGATTCGATGCTTTTAAACCACTTCTTCCATTTCAACAAGATCAAATTTATACACAAATTATATAATTACCCGAAAAACGACGTCTTTTTGTGGACTGGAGACCTAATTCTTAGGCATTACACTTCAGAATTAAAATTAAAATATATAGTATTTAAACTTTATAAATGACTTACTAAAACGCGCCTATGGTGTTTTACATCTAATGAATACATTATCTCTAATTATCGGTGCGGGTGTTCTACAAAACCCTTCCCAAACCTTAATTCCAACCCTAAATACTAATCATAACATGAAAATTTTGCGTAAAAATTTACTTCATTGCTTTTATTTCATTCCTCATAGCAATTTATAAATTCTTTGTTTTTGCATTTTAATAAATTATATAAAACAACAAGAAAAATGTTTTTATTTGATTTAATATATTTGTCTACATTACACAATTACAATACGGTGACATATTTCGGTTGATTAGTTAACACAATCCAAATAATTGGATTGTAACTAAGACTTCTGGAAGTAAAATTTACAGCCTACATATTAATGAACTGGAACTGAGAGGAGCGAAGTGAAAGCCTTTCAAGCCTTACTATACTGAATTTTAGATCCTGGTTCAACTGATCCTTAGGTTCAATCTTTGGATACTGAAATCTTGATTTAAAAGTACGATAGCTGACTTTTAATAAATAACTGTTAGAAAATAGGAGCTACATTATATCAAATATCAGATTAAATGCATCCATTATTCAAAGTTTTCTAGTTCTGTAGTTTTCATATTCTTCACTTAAATGACTTAAATTATTACCATTAGCAGGTTGCATATGGTTACTATTTTACAAATATTAAAAAGTAAAAGAAGACGTTCTCTAATCACTAAACAATGTGTTATATGTCAAATTACGTCAGATAAGGATAAGTAGCAGGATCATAATTATTTTAATCTGATGCAGGTATTAATTTGCACAACATATATATGCGATAAATTAGTTCTTTTGTATATTTATTAATTTATAAGCTTCTTTACAGCATGAAAAATTTCCGATTCTTAATTGTTCGGAGCGAAGCGGAGGACTCTTGGTCGTTCCTTGGAACGACCAACAGCAGAAACAGTGCCCGATCCAGAGTGAATCTGCAAATTATATTGGATTCAATTGTGATAGATATAATCCTCAACAGTTTTAATATATGTGTAACATTAACGGTCTCTGCTGTTGGTCGTTCCTTTGTCCGCGCGTGAGTCAATCACATGAAATTCTAGAAATTTCACGTCTTTTAACGCCCCACATGTACCCCACATGTCCAGGGGAGACCGTCCCAAATTAGGGGGTCGTCTAAAGCCGTGTCAATCACGTGACCTAAAGCCAATAGAATTGTTTATTTTGATCGACACGG